GGACACTAAAGAGTGACGCACACAGCTGGGAGACCAGGGGACACTAAAGAGTGACGCACACAGCTTGGAGACCAGGGGACACTAAAGAGTGATGCACACAGCTTGGAGACCAGGGGACACTAAAGAGTGACGCACACAGCTGGGAGACCAGGGGACACTAAAGAGTGACGCACACAGCTGGGAGACCAGGGGACACTAAAGAGTGACGCACACAGCTGGGAGACCAGGGGACACTAAAGAGTGACGCACACAGCTGGGAGACCAGGGGACACTAAAGAGTGACGCACACAGCTGGGAGACCAGGGGACACTAAAGAGTGATGCACACAGCTTGGAGACCAGGGGACACTAAAGAGTGATGCACACAGCTTGGAGACCGGGATTGCGGTCGAATAGTCCAAAAATCAGCTCCTATCGTCTATTCCTTGACCTCTGTGTGAAATGTCACAGGGTTACACAACACAACGGATGTGCATGTTTCCTCAAGTTGCTGAATGTTTCCTAAATGCTGCATGGGTTGTACATTTTGAAAGATGGATAAATAATATGAAATAATATTGGGCGTCCCACAGGGATCTGTACTCGGACCACTTTAGTTTTGTCTATAAATGCTTTTACTTCCTCTAATCTTCAAAGAAATATACATTTTAAACTTCATCAATCCTTTTAGATAATTTTCTTATATTAATATATCTTATTTAATCTTTTTACGGCACATACTTAGTTATTATGTTTATAATATTTGCGTATTTGAGCATTAGGAAAAGCGCTATAAAAATTCCATGTATTATTATTATAAAATACGTTATATATTATTTTTATTTTTGTATTATTAATTCAGAAATGAAACAACTGTCACAAAAACAACTTTTCCCCAAGATTATAAAAGTATTTCTGATTCTGATTTATAGAAAATGATGATGAAAAACATTTTTCTTTTTCCTACCAGTGACAGACACTGTGTTCAAGCACAGCGGGAACATTTTGTTATTTGTGTCTGACTGAAAAGACAGAAACAATTAAGATGGTAAAGTAAGTACACCCCCCCTCGTGTTATGGTCTGTGCTCTGAGTTATGGTGATGCTCTGCTAATGGAGACAGTAAAAACTCTTTAATGTGCTTCTGTCAGCGCAGAGTGTCTGCAGGGTTTTATTGCACGTCTCGCTGGGATGTGTTCAGTTATTATCACCAAGCAAGAAGAAAACACATGTGTTGTATTATCTGTGATTTACATGCATGTGTGTGCCTGTTGATCGGACACCATCACAGAGGAGTGTGTTTCTGTCTTCATTATTCTGCCTGGATCTGCTCTACTTATGTAGCCTCATTATTATGCACTATCCCTCTCTTATTTCTACACATATATCTATGCTCCAGATCTTCTAGTTAATATCTGACTCACACACCGCCAACTAACTCCATGTGATTTTGGATTAGGCCTATGTCAGAAAATAAAGGCGGCTAATGTTGGGCTATAAAGGAACTACAGCACGGTCACATGACTTCACGTCACCACCGCTAAGCTAAAGGCGGCTAATGTTGGGCTATAAAGGAACTACAGCACGGTCACATGACTTCACGTCACCACCGCTAAGCTAAAGGCGGCTAATGTTGGGCTATAAAGGAACTACAGAACTACAGTTTTGTGCAATTTCACATAATTTCGAATTGTAAGGTTCACAGTCCCCTAAAAATAAACTATTTCCCAATAATTCATTGTTTTTCTTTACTTTCAAACTGGTCTTATGCCATGGTGTTCAGTTAGAGTTATTTTCAGCACCTGTTCCTGCACCACCGTGTGACTTCTGAACTCTTGAGCTTGACTTCTAAATCCTTTACTTACCGTTTTAAGCAGTGTTTACATGTCTGTGTTAACAGTTGTAATACTTCTCGTTATGCAATCAGCTTATATCAAGGCATTCAAATACAAATACTTTTTTTTGTTTGATCTACTGTTGGTTCATGGTATACATATTAAATTATATATAGCTTACCTAGCAAAAAAACAATTAAATTCAGATTTAAAAAACCTGTAGGCCTATAGATGATTTTTTAATAATTCTGGTTTAAACTGCACCCACAATCTTACACCTCTGTAATAAACTTAACTGTAGTATATTATACTTTCCATACCATTCTACACATTATAATTATGCTAATCCTGCTTCCCGACATGACTAATTTAGGAGCATTTGATCTACTATCCTTTTAATACATTACTTGTAGTAGTTGTAATACAATAATCTGCTTTACTGTCTGTATCATGCAGAGCTGTGCATCTTCTCATAATATCTTTAACCAGTATCTGTGAGTTATCTTAAATGCTGCAGAGACTCATCCCCACTAATCAGGGTCACATTTAAACCCCTTACAGCTGATAAGCCTCCTTCTTCCTCCCTCTCACTAAACTGACTTTCTCCATGTCCTGCCTCACTCTCCTTCAGACCCATGTGACCAGGACCCTCCCCCAGGGGGTTAAACCCTAAAGATGACCCTTACCGACGGCTAAGCATTTTACCTTTTTTTTTTTAGACTTCTTATGGCACATTCTTACTTATAATGTTTACAAAATACATTATATATTTTTCATCATTATATATCTAACGTAGCTAACTGCTAGTGGCG